GTTCATCACACAAGATGCAAGTGTTATTGGGAACGACGTTATCACCAGTTCTACCACTGCTGTTACCATGTGTTCTACTGATACTGATTTGTAAACTATGGACTGTTTACAACGTACGATCCAAAGATCCCAACTGCAAGGCACCCTTACCTGAAGGCAGTATGGGGATTCCATTCTTCGGAGAAACACTACAACTGCTTCTTTTTGTAAGTCCAATATTTTTTTTTATTTATCAAATTTGACATTTGAAATAAAATTCAATATAGAACAATGCGGACATTTCTCCACTTAATTTAGAACTAAAATATTGCATTAGTTATGATTTCACACAGAGGTCGACTTGACCAACACCATATCCAGCGAATAGTCCTTGACACAGTCTACATGCTTTCTATCGTACACAGTTCGTGTTACATTACCGATTACAGCTTAAACTACCACGTAGAGTAAATCCATGGTCAGTCAATACTGTATTAGTTGAAGTATATTTTACGTAAATAGACTGGTCTATACCGGTCAATAATATATTGCGGTGAATTATTTGATCCGTTGCCAAATGTAAAGATCACATTCATATGGCACTTTGAGTGCCCCGGTACCCGTCTCACACACTTACTGCGATACACACTTTAAGGACATTCGTCAACTATTAAAATTGAAGATAAAAACTTCTTATTAATTTAGGGTGCCGAATTCTACCAGAAGAAATATGCGAAATATGGCCGTGTATTCAAGACCCATCTTCTAGGCCAACCTTCAGTGCGTGTGATTGGCGCTGCGAATGTCCGTAGAGTGTTACTGGGGGAAGGCGACATCGTGCAAGTGCACTATCCACGCACAGTACAGAGTGTTCTTGGTAGCAAATCTATTTTAGTCGCCACTGGCAAAGAACACGATCGACTGCGTAAACTGGTTTCCAAGGCGTTTAACATCCATGCTCTTTCCGAGTACGTTCCCTACATGCAACAGTTCATGACAGAAGCGGTGAAAAGCTGGTGTGACAAGGGACAGGTGTGTGCCGAATCAGAGAGCAAGGTATTGATATTCCGTGTAGCTGGCAAACTTCTTTGTAACTTCGATTATGATGAAGAAGAAAGCAGACACCTGAGTCAAGTTTTTGCAACTATGGTAGATAACATGCTCTCCTTACCAATTAACATTCCCGGCAGTCAATTCAACAAGGTACGTCATTTCTATTTCCTATCTTAGAACCCTCTCTTTAAAAATTAATGCCACACCCAAGAAGACATTCTCGCTAATTGAAATTTACGTATTAAATATATAATAATATGTTATATATATATACGTTGTTTTCCTTTCATAATATAGGCTATTCGTGCACGTAATATTATACGCAGTAGAGTCGAAGCAAGTCTTAAAAAGAAAAAAGAATCAGAAAATGATTTGCCTTTCACTGATGCATTGCGGATTGTTTCTGAAGGGGGCCACTTTAATACGGAACAACTAAAAGAATTAGCTCTAGAACTGTTATTTGCTGGGCATTCAACGACATCTTCTACTGCTGTCATGATGATTCACTACCTCGCACAGCGACCTGACATCGTGAAAAGAGTAAGAAACGAACTCGACGAGTTTGACTTGCTGGACGAGGAGGAACCATTGAAGTTTGAAGACATTTCAAAGTTAAAGTACACTAGTAGTGTGATCAAAGAAGTATTTAGAATCTCACCTCCTATAGGGGCTGGTTTTAGGAAAGTCATCAAAACTTTCCAATTGGAGGTGAGTTGTCGGCTACTTCTAATACTAGCATATAATTTTATGATCGTGAACTAAAAATAAACCTATGTACGGGGAAAATGTGACCATAATAGGAACACGTCTGAATGGTGTGTGTGAAATTGGGTCTACCGACTGTCTGCAAATGGCAGTTGTTCAATTATTGTGCAACTTGCCTTTCTCCATTCAATGCAGCGTTATGCAAAGCTCTTTAATCATTTGTTGGCCCCCCATTCATGATCGGTATCAATCTCAACAGGGCGTCCCGGGTAACCAGTCGATGTCTGAATGTAATTCTTTTTAAAATGCATTGCCATTGTGTTTGTTACCAAATGGTTCCGTCTATTGGGTCATTACTTTTCAATCCACAGGTATGACTTGCCAAATGTCTCGCAATCATCGGTCCTTCGTGGGAGTGGCAAGACAATAGATCGCAATGTGCGATGTTCTACCGATGACAGGGTAGCCAGGCATCCATTCAATCTCATTGTAGACTGCAGTGTAATGCTAGAATTAACTAACATTGTTTGCAGCGCTCGTTTTGGGCACAGACCGTGCATTGGTTTGTCCACACCTGTGTTCAACTTCACATTTCATTACATGAAACATAGTAACTAGAGAACCATGACAACTTGCTAATGTGAACATTCTTTTTCAGGGGAAGCAAATTCCTGCCGGGTGGACGTTGCTGTTCAGTATACGAGAAACTCATGCACTCGCTGACAATTTTGCAGAAGTGGAAAAATTCGACCCGGATCGATTCATGCCGGAAAGAAACGAGGAGAAGAAAGGAGACCGCTTCAATTTCATTCCATTCGGCGGCGGGTCCCGTGGGTGCGTCGGGAAACAGATGGCACAACTTATGCTTAAAATTTTGCTCATCACCCTTTCAAGAAACTGCCGATGGGAACTAGTCAATCAAGAAACGCCCAGAATTGAATTGATGCCATGTCCACATCCCATAGGCGGTCTTCCCGTAAGGATTTCACGGCTTGACTGCAATGCAAACAGAATTGACTTTAAAAAGGTGAACGAAGCTGGTGACGTCGCTTGCTAAACACGGGTCGTTCAACTTTGACGAGCAAATGAGGCTAGTTTATGGCAGTGGCTGAGATGGCATCATAACATCATCGCTCCGTGTAACAAATGTAATTTCATCTTGTAGTCACGGAATGGACCATCCGACCTACCTGGGATAACCCGTCTGCGAACCAAACATTTGAGTACCCAGCCCGGGCCGAATGTGAAAATGGAAGTTGTCTGAAAATACTCATGGGCATTGAACTGAGTCCTGATGTCTTTATTTTATGAGCGTGAACATTTCCCCGAAACAAATGTATGACTGGAATGTAGGAATTCGGAATGGGTTGAATGACGTACATCTCATTGATGTAAGTTGTGTAGGCTAGAGTTACTAGTATATGCTGAGCCAAGGTACCCTACTCGTAGTAATTGTTACACCTCTCCACAGGTTAGGTCTCACGGTACCCATGAAACCATGACATCCTGAATACGTTTCATTGAATACCTTTTGCGTAAGTGTCTTATAAATAAATAAATAAATAAATAAATAAATAAATAAATAAATAAATAAATAAATAAATAAATAAATTTGATATCTGTTGAAGATATGTAACTCAGTTACGTGTATTTTAGCCGAGTACTCAGTGATACTGACAACTGCGATATTTATTGCCAACTAAGAAGAATACATTCTTTGAGTTATTGTTAGTATTAAAAGTAATATTTCACTATTATAATAATCGTCTTCGTTTCTTGTACCTGAAATTGGAGAAATTGCGTCATTTCCGGTCGAATTTTGTATGGTCACACTCATCTCATTGTAGCATATACACGCACGGCTTTAAAGGGCGGTAGTCGTCGCGCTACGAATGAGTGGGACATATGGATATCGTATAAACAAAGATGGCGATTTTGACCGTTGCGCAGATCAACGATTACAAACTAAGGCGCTCCCAAGCTTTAATTAGGTATTTTTTAGGTGATTGGAAGGTATCGAAGAAGTCACCGGCGGTAATTAGTGCAAGTCGCACTAGGTCAAACCTCATACTCGTGTTTTCATTAGAAGAGTGCATAAACCAACGTTTGTCAACACAAATGTCGCATATGCGCAGCGCGACGACCACTGCTCTTTAAGTATATTTATTCATTAAATATCAAAATAAAACTGACAAATGTTGTGTTTTTGAAGAGTGTGGGAGAGAGTCGAAGGAAGAACGAGGGTTATTGATTCAAATTAACGTAAATGAATACTGTAAAACATGTTTAAATAGCCACATGCCATTTTTAGCAAACTTGACTCCTTGCATGCACAAATGCTTAATTTAGCTAAAGTGCCAACAATATCATTATGCAAATATACTTTATTTTGAATTAGTGACATCTTGAATTAGCAAAATTACAGACTAGCTAAAATGACATGCTAGCTAAAAGACGTGTTTTACAGTATGTTAGCCTACGTATGTGTTCAATTTTAATGAGAAACTACATAGATAACAGTATCCGAGGTTAGAGTAATGTACTATGCACAGACTACTAAAATATCGTTTATGCTCAGAGAACTAGTGGTCTGAGGTTTATTGTATAGTGCACAACCGAGTACACTACACACGATGTGGTTATTACCCACAATACACATGGGACGTGTGATGCGAAGCAGTTTTTAATGTTATTAACAAAACATTAACCTGGTTTCGCCAACTTGAATGATGTAAAATATACGTCGTTTCCATGGAAAAATAAAAGCTCTTCCTAAATCTGGTGCTCGACATGATGAATTCTAAGGCAATCGAACCTAAAGCGACAATAAATGTGATTTCTAACATACAACGACCACAATTATCATTATCATATAAATGCGAGGTGATAATTAAAGGTTGAGTAGTCGCCGTTATATTGAAATCGATCACTCAGTGTGGACTGTAGAAAATTATGACACACGACGCACACTATTATTGCTTCTCAAGATTGCAACGTATTTGACATTTTGCCCAGGACACCCGGTACGTTTATCTAGTACCGTGATTCCCGAGGTTCGCTTGACAAATTGAATATCAATAGATAGCGCGCCCTTTACAGACCTTGGCGCAGACTCTTGGCCATTTCCCTTGCAAGTGATTTAATGTACCACGTCGATATAGAACATATATTTTATGCTTTCAGTGTCCATATTTCGGCAATGGCCGTTAAAAATTGATACTGATGACACAAAAAATGTTTCATAAAAAATACAAATCAGAGAAAAAGAATCGATAATTACAGCTATTGCCGCTTAAAAATTGCGAAACGTTAGAACAACTTCCGGAACTTCGACATAACCGCTCACAAGAAAACAGCGACGAATAGTACCTGAACCATATCTCACATTAACGTGACAATTTCTTGGAGTAATTGAAAGTAAAAACAGTGAATCATATGAAGATAATGTATTTTATCGTATTTTAAACAATAACGTATGTTAATTTATATTTGCATTATTTAACCAAAAATAAGACATGACATTCATTCCAGTTCTTAATTTCAATTAGTGTGATTTGCAATACTTTTTAATGCCTTCACAAGAAATGTGAAAACCTTTACCAGCAGTGGCTCCTTAACTATTTAATCCATATTTGAGCAAGTCGAAACTGGACATAGACAGCTTTGTAACAGCCGTGGAAAACTATTGCCCAACTTAGTAGTGTTACCCACTAAGCACAATGCATACATACATGTGTACTACTCTTATACACGCAGTCCCCTCTATCTATGATGGGACATGTAGACAACTCTTCTTACACAGTCCCCTCTATCCATGATGGGACATGTAGACAACTCTTCTTACACAGTCCCCTCTATCCATGATAGGACATGTA